ATCAACAAAGATGAGAGGAGACAAAGAAGGACATTACATAATGGAAAAAGGATCAATGCAACAAGAAGAGCTAACAATCCAAAATATATACACAACCGATACAGGAGCTCCCAGATACATAAAACAAGTTCTTAACAGCCTACAAAGAGACTTAGATTCCCACACAATAATAGTGGGAGACTTTACACTCCACTGTCGATATTAGACCGATCAACGAGACAGAAAATTAACAAGGATATCCAGGACTTGAACTCAGAACTGCACCAAACAAACCTAATAGACATTTCTAGAACTCTCCACCCCAAATCCACAGAATATGCATTTTTCTCAGGACCATATCGCACCTACTCTACAATTGACCACATAATTGGAAGTAAATCCCTCCTCAGCAAATGCAAAAGAACAGAAATCATAACAAATAGTCTCTCAGACAACAGTGCAATCAAATTAGAACTCAGGATTAAGAAACTAAATCAGAATTGCACAACTTAATGTGAACTGAACGACTGACTCTTGAATATTGACTAGATAAACAATGAAATGAAGGCAGAAATCAAGATGTTCTTTGAAACCAACAAGAATGAAGACACAACATACCAGAATCTCTGGAACACAAAGTAGTGTCTAGAGGGAAATTTATAGCAAAAAATGCCCACATGAGAAGCAAGGAAAGATCTAAAATTGACACCCTAGCATAAAAATTGAAAGAGCTAGAGGAGGAAAAAAAAAAAAACCTTGAAAGCTAAGAGGAGACAAGAAATAACTAAGATCAGAATAGTACTGAAGTAGATAGAGACACCAAAAAACCCTTCAAAAAATCAATAAATCCAGGAGCTTGTTTTTTCAAAAGATCAGCAAAATAGACCACTAGCCAGATTAATGAAAAAGAAACGAAAGAAGAATCAAATAGATGCAATAAAAATCACTAAAGGGGATATCACCACCAATTCCACAGAAATACAAACTACCATCACAGATTACTACAAACAACTCTATGCACATAAACCAGTAAACCTGGAAGAAATGGATAAATCCCTGGACAATTGCATCCTCCCAAGCCTAAACCAGGAAGAAGTCAAAACCCTGAATGGACCAATAACAAGGGCTGAGGTTGAGGCAGCAATTAATAGCCTACCAACCAAAAAAAGCCCATGTCCAGATGGGTTCACAGCTGAATTCTACCAGACATACAAAGAGGAGCAGGTACCACTCCTTCTGAAACTATTCCAAGCAATCCAAAAAGAGGCAGTCCTTCCCATATCATTTCACGAGACCATCATCATCCTGTTACCAAAGCCCTGCAGATTCAACAACAGAAGAAAATGTCAGGCCAATATCTATGATGAACATTGCGGAAAAAATCTTCAATAAAATACTGACAAACCAATTGCAACAGCACATCAAAAAGCTTATCCATCACGATCAAGTAGGCTTCATCCTGGGGATGCAAGGCTGGTTCAACATTCACAAGTATGTAAACGTAATCCACCACATAAGCAGAACCAAAGACAAATACCATGTAATTATCTTAATAGATGCAGAGAAGGCTTTGAACAAAATTCAACAACGCTTTATACTAAAAACTCCCAATAAACTAGGTATAGATGGAACGCATCTCAAAACAATAAAAGCTATGTATGACAAACCCACAGCCAATATCAGACCAAATGGGCAAAAACTGGAAGCATTCCCTTTGAAATCTGGCACTAGACAAGGATGCCCTCTCTCACCACTCCTATTCAATATAGTATTGGAAGCTCTAGTCAGAGCAATCAGGCAAGAAAAAGAAATAAAGGGTATTCAATTAGGAAAGGAGGAAGTCAAATTGTCTCTATTTGCAGACGACATGATTGTATATTTAGCAGACCCCATCATCTCAGCCCAAAATCTCCTTAAGCTCATAAGCAACTTCAGCAAAGTCTCAGGATACAAAATCAATGTGCAGAAATCACAAGCATTCCTATACACAAATAACAGAACTAAAGAGAGCCAAATCAAGAATGAACTGCCATTCACAATTGCTACAAAGAAAATAAAATACCTAGGAATACAACTAACAAAGAATGTAAAGGACCTCTTTAAGGAGAACTACAAATCACTGCTCAAGGAAATAAGAGAGGACACAGATGGAAAAACATTCCATGCCCATGGTTACGAAGAATCAATATTGTGAAAATGGCCATACCGCCCAATGTAATTTATACATTCAGTGCTATCCCCATGGAGCTACCTATGACCCTCTTCACAGAAATGGAAAAAAACAGCCCAAACTTCATATGGAACCAAAAGAGAGCTCACATAGCCAAGACAATCCTAAGCAAAAAGAACAAAGCTGGAGGCATCATGCTACCTGGCTTCAAACTATGCTACAAGTCTGCAGTAATCAAAACAGCATAGTACTGGTACCGAAACAGAGATACAGACCAATGGAACAGAACAGAGGCCCCAGAGACAATGCCACACATTACAGCCATCTGATCTTTGACAAACCTGACAAAAACAAGCAGTAGGGAAAGGATTCCCTGTTTAATAAATGGTGTTGGGAAAACTGGTTTACCATGTGCCGAAAGTAGAAGCTGGACCCCTTCTTCACACCTTACACTAAATTTAACTCCAGATGGATTAAAGATTTAAACATAAGACCTCACACCATAAAAATCCGAGAAGAAAGCCTAGGCAAAACCATTCAGGACATAGGCATATGCAAGGACTTCATGACTAAAACACCAAAAGCATTGGCAACAAAAGCCAAAATATACAAATGGGATCTAATTAAACTCCAGAAATTCTGCACAGCAAAAGAAACAATCATTAGAGTGAACTGGCAACCAACAGAATGGAAAAATATTTTTGCTTTCTACCCATCTGATAAAGGGCTAATATCCAGAATCTAAGAACTAAAACAGATTTACAAGAAAAAAACAAATAAACCCATCCAAAAATGGGCAAAGGACATCAACAGACACTTTTCAAAAGAAGACATTTATGAGGCCAACAAACATATAAAAAATGCTCATCATCGCTGGTTATTAGAGAAATATAAATCAAAACCACATTGAGATACCATCTCACATCAGTTAGAATGGCGATCATTAAAAAATCTGGAGATAACAGATGCTGGAGAGGATGTAGAGAAATAGGAACGCTTTTACACTGTTGGTTGGAGTGTAAATTAGTTCATTATTGTGGAAATAGTTTGACAATTCCTCAAGGACTTAGAAATAGAAATTCCATTTGACCCAGCAATCTCATTACTGGGTATATATCCAAAGGATTATAAATCATTCTATTTCAAAGACACATGCACTCATATGTTCATTTTGGCACTGTTTACAATAGAAAAGACCTGGAACCAACCCAAATGCCCATCGATGATAGACTGGACAAGGAAAATGTGGCACATATACACTGTAGAATACTATGCAGCCATAAAACATGATGAGTTTGTGTCCTTTGTAGGAACATGGATGAATCTGGAAACCATCATTCTCAGAAAACTGACACAAGAACAGAAAATTAAACACTGCATGTTCTCACGCATGGGTGATGAACAATGAGAACTCATGGTCACAGGGAGTGGAGCATCATACACTGGGGTCTGTTGGCAGGGGTATTAGGGGAGGGACAGTGGGGGTAGGGAGGCTATGGATAGATAACATGGGGAGAAATGCCAAATACAGGTGACAGGAGGATGGAGGCAGCAAACCACATTGCCATGTATGTACCTATGCAACAATCCTGCATGTTCTGCACATGTACCCCAGAACCTAAAATGCAATTAAAGAAAAAAAAATGTGTGTGTGTGTGTGTGTGTGTGTGTGTGTGTGTATATATATATATATGTATAGATATGCCACTTTTCACCAGGTGGCCACTTGATTCAGCCTACAAAGGGTATGCAATAACCCTTACCTTCCATGAATTCCAAAGTTCCCTACATGAATAAAATCTAAATAAAAATTTCTCCATTTGTCTTGTTAAAAAAATTCTTTTTTCTCTAGGTGGAAAGTTGATGGAACTTTATTTTTTTCTTTCTCTCTCTGTAGTAAGAATGTTTCAGCTTTCAGGTGGATGATCATGCTTATCTCTTGGGGTGTCTTATTTTGTAGCAAACAAATTGAATTCTTTATTATATAAGCATTTACACAAAACAAATTGTAGAGTAAATGCTAACGAGTGTTATTGGGCTTATATTAAGAACTCAAGCATTTCTTTTAAGTTCACGCTTGATCGACTGGTCATGTCTCTCTTTTTGTTCGTTTCTCCGTCCTTCCTCTTTGTTTACAAATGGTTTGCCTCAGTCTTAACTTTTTCCTTGCAGAACACATGTCTATAGTGTCTGTTTTTTCATTTCACCTCTGTTTCTATTATCAGCATACTTATTACAGCTTTCTCTTTAGCAGCTCTGTGTGGCTTTTATTCGTCAATCATTGCTCTATAAGGTGGTTGGTTGTCTTGTTCTCTCTTCTTTGGAAGGAGCTGAAGTCATACAATAATTTTTTCTTAGCTTTTAACACAGAGAATGCAAGCAACCTGTACTGTTTCCATTGCCAACCCATTTAAATATGGTACTACTAAAAACCACAGGTTCACATTTTATTCCCAGAAAATGTAATTCACACAGATAGATATAATCTATAGCTATTTTGAAAAATAATGTGGTTAATTTACTTTTGTATTATTATTTTTATTCAGTGATACTCTAAATTACATACAAGTAAATTTTTGTCCTAGGTTGTTGTGGATAGGAAAAACTAATGGATTATTTGTGTAATAATCAACTAGGGTTAAAAGGAGTTACATTTTGAGACTATGTCACCAATCATAATCATCATGGCATTAGAATATGTAGCTAAGTAAATGGCAGACTCAAGGTTTGACTCTACATATGAGTGACTTCAAAATCTGTACATTTTGTGTTAGCTCATATAGTAATTGTGGCTGTTGTAATTATTTTAACTTGCTGCATGTTATTCTTAAATCGATTGTTTTTCTTCTAGATTATTGCAAAATCACGTGAAATAAAGAGGATGCCTCATGAAGATTCTTTAGAAAATTGTAAGCTATTTGAGCCTACCTATTTTATTATTTACTGATTCTTTTTTTTTTTTTTTTTTTTTTTTTTTTTTTTTTTTTTTTTTTTTTTTTTTTTTTTTTTAAACACTGAGTCTTACTCTGCTGCCCAGGCTGGAGGTCAGTGGCATTATCTTGTCTCACTGCAACTTCCACCAACTGGGTTCAAGTCATTCTCCTGCCTCAGCTTCCTGAGTAGCTGGGATTACAGGTGCACACCACCACAGCTGGCTAATTTTTGTATTTTTAGTAGAGATGGGATTTCACCATGTTGGCCAAGCTAGTCTCAAACTCCTAACCTCAGGTGGTCTGCCTGTCTCTGCCTTCCTTGTGCTGGGATTAAAGGTGTGAGCCACCACACCTGGTTCTTATTTCCTGATTCTTAATTAGAAGCATTTCATCTACTCTTCACTTTGTTTTCACTGTAGTACATGCTGCATATGGCATTGAAAAAACCGAAAATGGAACCTTGTTTGAAAACCAAAAGAATGATAAGGTAAATGAATATGTGTTTAAAAGCTATCATAGAATAATCAGAATCTTTTCCTGTTTACCACTCACCCTCATCTATAAATGATCTCTAGCTTCACAAGGTTAAATTGTTTTATTTAGAAAATATTTTTCTGATTCTTTATTCACATACCATCTCCCCATCTTTATAATGATTACAAGGATCCTAGAAAGGAATGGAAATTCTCAAGATAATAATGGAAAGCAAGTGCACAACAAGGGAAATATATGCACAGGACTGAGTTTCATAAAAGGTGGTGGGTGTAATGTATTCTCAATTTTGCCATTAGAAAAGGAAAGAAGTAGAAAGCAACCTGAAAGAATAGCTCAACAAATTCAAAGGTGAGGAAGGGAAAGATGTAAGAACACAGAGACTGAATAAGAGAGTCAAGGTGACAAAGATTCGTATAAGAACACCTTAGAAATCCTCAGTTTAAATGAGAGCAGAATGTCTCTATAATATAGAAATTATTTTAAATACAGATTAAGAAAAGAAAGCCAAGTAATAAAAACATGCTTAGATTCTTCTGAGTGACTTATGGGTAATTTTAATGAAGGATTGAAAGAAAATTCATGGGTGACTGTAGTTAACATTATTCTGTTATACATTAAAAAACAGCTAGGAGAGAATAATTTGAACATTTCTAGTTTAAGTAAAAGATACATTTTTAAGGCAATGCATATCTCTGTTATCCTCATTAGATTATATAGAAGGATCAAATCATCACATGTACACTGAAGATATATACATCTATTTATTAATTTTAAAAGTCTAAATGGAAAGAACATTTAATCCTCACTTTATTAAATTTTAGTAAAGTGATATCTTAATTTTATGTAGTACATGCTGTGTTCATAGATAAGGCAAAGTAAGATCTGGTTTAGGCTTATCAGATTTTGAATGAATCATTAATTTTTGACTCTGGTTATTTGGTATATTCATAAGTTGCTTAACTAATTTATTTTACTTAATCTTGGCAGCTGTTTTAGCCTTTTTTGATAATAGAGAATAAATAAATAAGCATTTATCTTTCATTAATAAAAATTAAAATTTCTGGTTATTTTTAAAGGAGGTTCTTAATTTATATTCATTGCATGAGAAAATATATAGTTTGACTTGCAGCCCTCTTAAAGAAATGAATTATTACTTATTTCTGGAGATAGTCCAGAAATATCTGTATATGACTTACCTTGTGTTGCTAACATCTGTGTTTAAGAACACACATGAGAACTTTTAAAACTATCTGTCACAGTTGGGACATTTTCTATTATTCTCTGGAAGCTTTATTAACTTTAGTATTTATAGCTGTTAAACCTTGCACATAAAGTTATTCTACTCTAAAACTCAGGAATCCTTTTGACTTTATTTATTTATTTTTATTTTTATTTTTTTGAGATAAGAATCTCACTGTGTCACCCAGGCTGGAGTGCAGTGGTGTGATCTTGGCTCACTGCAACTTCCACCTCCCAAGTTCAAGCAATTCTCCTGCCTCAGCCTCCCAAGTAGTAGCTGGGACTACAGGCGTGTGCCACCACGCCCCGCTAATTTTTGTATTTTTAGTAGAGACAGGGTTTCACTATGTTGGCCAGGCTGATCTTGAACTACTGACCTCGTGATCCATCCGCCTCAGTACACTAAAGTGCTGATCTTGAACTCCTGACCTCAGGATACATCCACCTTGGCCTCCAAAAGTGCTGGGATTACAAG